ATGCGGAGAGCGTGGGCACATGCGGAGCGACTGCCCGAAGAAGGTGAACCGCCAGGACGCGGCGGTCTCAACTTCTGACCAGCAGGGAAACTAAATCCAGCCAGGGCTGCGGGGTGGGCGCTGGCCGGTAGTGGAATAACCCCAACAATCTACATCAAGCAAACTAACGATGGAAATACTCTGGTGATAGACGGTCAAGTAAATGGGAAAAACAGTCAGCTAACATTAGATACTGGAGCTTCAAGGACGGTGATAAATGTTCGGCTGCTCGGGCAAAACATCAGGAAACACGTTAAACCAATTGTTGGCCTACGAATGAAATCAGCTACCGGCCAGTGCATACCGATAAGTGGAAAACTGCATGTAACAATCAAAATTGGGGAACGTGTTTATCGACATGAGGTTATTGTGGCCAAAATTCTGGATGACTGCATCCTGGGACTTGACTTCCTGCAAGGGCACCAGTGTAACATCGACTTAAAATCTGGAGTATTACTATGTGGAACTGAGGAAATTCCGATGAAGGGTGGAACCCTGGGAAAAGTTTGCTGTTTAAGAAGAACTGTTCTTGAACCAAAATCACAGACTCTCGTACCAATCGCATTACCTAGGAGGAGGGAAGGAAGTTTACCTCTAAGGTGCGCTGTGATTGATAAATCGGAACACGTAAACTCATGGCTACCGGCGAGAACTGTCGTGGGGTCATCTGATGTCAACCGCATTCCGGTATTCAACTTCAGTGATTCAAAAATTACGATTGAAGAAGGAGAGCCTGTGGGCGTATTGGAAGAAGTGGCCTGGATAAGAAAATGCTCGGAGAATCTTGTGAAGAAGGACAGTACGGGAATAGACTTTGTAACGAAAATCTTAGACGAAAACAAAAGTCTGACAAAAGTGGAGACTATGAAAGCTAGAAATTTACTTCTTCGATTCTCTGATGTGTTTTCAAGAAGCGATGGTGATATTGGCCGAACTGGTTTGGTGAAGCATAAAATAAACACAGGTGATACAATGCCAATTCGTCAAAGGCCCAGACGCATACCATTCGCTCGTGAGAAAGAGGTTGAAGAAATGATTGACGATATGAGGAAAAATGACGTGATAGAGCCCTCTTCTAGCCCTTGGTGTTCACCTGTCGTGCTTGTCAAGAAGAAAGATGGTTCAACGAGGTTTTGCGTAGACTATCGACGATTGAATGATGTAACCAAGAAGGATAGCTACCCGTTACCAAGAATCGATGACACACTTGACACACTGAGTGGCATGAAATGGTTTTCAACGCTCGATCTGAAAAGCGGCTATTGGCAGGTGGATTTGGATCCCAAGGACAAGGAAAAGACCGCATTCTCAACTGGGAAGGGACTCTGGCAATTTAAGGTGATGCCATTTGGATTATGCAATGCACCGGCAACCTTTGAGCGTTTGATGGAACAGGTGCTGGCGGGACTGCTGGGCGAAACCTGCCTAGTTTACCTCGATGACATCATCATTGTTGGACGGGATTTTGACGATCATCTAAGGAAATTGGAAAAGGTACTCGATAAGCTGCGTGGAGCAAATTTAAAGTTGAGTCCAAAGAAATGCTCTTTCTTCAAGCGCGAAGTGAATTATCTAGGACATGTTATTTCTGAGAGAGGAATTGAGACTGATCCAGCCAAGACTGCCGCTGTTAAGGAATGGCCAACACCTAAAGACAAAACGCAAGTTCGGGCATTTCTTGGATTGTGCTCGTATTATCGGCGGTTTGTGAAAGGATTCTCGGACATTGCCAAGCCTTTGCATCGATTGACAGAGGAGAAACGTGCCTTTATCTGGGACGAGGATTGTGAGCAAGCCTTTCGAGAACTAAAAGAACGGCTTTGTAACACACCAATTCTCGGATACCCCAGCGCGAAAGGAATATTCGTAGTTGATACGGATGCCAGCAATATTGGAATAGGAGGTGTCCTTTCACAACGCGATGGTGAGCAGGAGAAGGTTATTGCTTACTTCAGCAAGTCACTATCCAAGCCGGAGAAGAATTATTGCGTGACCAGGAGGGAATTGCTGGCCGTAGTCAAAACTCTGCACCATTTCAAGAAGTATTTACTGGGACGGAAATTTTTGATCAGAACTGATCACGCTGCTTTGAAATGGCTGCTTCAGTTTAAGGATCCCGAAGGCCAAGTAGCCAGATGGTTGGAACAACTTCAGGAATTTGACTTTGAAATCGAACATCGCGGCGGAAGAATTCATGGCAACGCAGATGCATTATCGAGACGCCCATGCGTGGAAGATTGCAAGCATTGTACCAAGAAGGAAACTGCTTTTCTTAAGGTGATAAGGACTGATACTGTTGACGAGGCATGGGGAGATGATGCGATGAAATTAGAACAGGAAAGAGATGCAGATATCAAACCAATACTGGAGTGGCTACGAAGTGGTAACAAGCCAAGTTGGAGTGACGTCGCCTTACGCTGCATAACGGACTTCTGTGCAGGAAATGGGAATCAACAAACGGCAAGGACGAGCATTTGCAATTGGTGGTGCCTCGTTCAAAAATAAGGGATGTATTAAAAGCGTTCCATGATGGATCTTCTGGAGGACATTTGGGAATTAGGAGGACTTTGGTGAAGATCAAGGAGAGGTTTTATTGGTTGCATTGCAAATATGACGTCGAAGATTGGTGCCGGAAATGCACTAGTTGTGCAGCTGTCAAGGGTCCACAAACAAGAAGCAGAGGGGCGATGAAAATCTACAATGTTGGTATGCCTTGGGAGAGAATAGCCTTAGACATCGCTGGACCATTTCCAATCACTGATTCGGGCAATCGCTACGTTTTAGTGGTTATGGATTATTTTACAAAATGGCCGGAGGTCTTTGCCATACCGAATCAAGAGGCAGTAACTGTAGCCACGAAGTTGGTAAACGAGGTATTCACCCGATTCGGAGTGCCCTTGGAGATGCACAGTGATCAAGGACGGAACTTTGAATCCCAAGTTTTCCAGGAAACTTGTAAACTTTTGGGAATCCATAAGACTCGAACGACCCCTTATCATCCACAGTCAGATGGAATGGTCGAACGCTTCAACCAAACATTGGAGCGACACTTAGCAAAGGTGGTTGACAGCCATCAGAGAGATTGGGACACTTACATACCTCTCTTCTTGCTTGCCTATCGGACTGCTGTACATGAAAGTACCGCAAAGACGCCTGCATTTGCAAATTTTGGAAGGGAATTGAGATTACCGGCAGATCTTGTATCGGGCTGTCCACCTGGTGACTCTCGCACCGAGTTTAGCGATTACATAAGCGAGTTAAGGGCAAAAATGTTGGACATTTATGAGCAGATCAGGGAGGCCGGTCTTCAAGCTAGTGATCGCGCAAAGACGCGCTATGATCGACGAGCCAATTCTGTTGGGTTTGAAGAGGGGTCATTGGTCTGGCTTCATAATCCAGTCAGAAGGAAGGGAAAATCTCCAAAGCTGCAACCGAGTTGGGAAGGTCCTTACGAGATAGTCACGAAGATCAATGACATTACTTACAGAATTCGGAAGTCTTCAAGGAGCCCTTTGAAAGTTGTCCATATAGACAGGTTGGCGAGGTATTACGGCAGCAACGATGCTCGGGACGAGCGAATCTAAGAGGGGGGCAGTGTGACAGAAAACTCTTTGACATCATGACGTCAATGGATGGTTGTCAAACGTTGCCTAGAGATTGTAAATTTCGTCGTGAATTGTCAACACGAGTTGGTGTAATCGGTAAGGCATGTGGATTACACCACAGAGACCCCGAGTTCGAGTCCCGCCGTAAACATGAAGTTTTTTAGTTGATGGAAGTTTTGTCGAACTTTCTGGAATATTTGAGTGAAAGTAATGAAAAATTAAGGAGCGAGAAGGAGAATAAATAAAAATGAATAACGAAATTATTGGAAGGTTCTGGAGGCATGACGATCAAAAAAGAATAACGAAATTGAATGTTCTAGAACCTGACCGGGGGTATATAAGCGGAACTGCGGCTCACCGCTGGCAGTTGAGTTCTAAGTCTAAAGCGATTCGGAAGAAAAGGAAGAAGTGAAAAAGAAGAAAAGTGAGTGAAATAGTGAAGTGCAGTGAAATAGTGAAGTGCAGTCAGTTAAGTGAAGTTAGCGTGAACGGCAAAGTTGTGTCAGTCGGCCGGACTCTGCTGGAGAGGAACGCCGATAACTTAACTCCGTGGACGCTGTAACTTAAGCGCAATAGAAAGTCTGAAAACCGGTATTAGTGTTTCATTTCATCCAATCCCGTAACCCAAGCCCGCATAGTCAGGAACGTGACGTCAGGCACGTAACAATAATATAATCTTGGTTTTTGGTTGATAAGTATATAACCGTCTTTGTTGATGTTCATGTTTTTGTATATATGTATATGTACTTATAGGTAGATAAATCATGGATTGAAAATGAACCATAAATTTTATTGTTAAGGTTTCTATTTCATTATTTTACAATAACTTTAACCTTAGCATAGGGAAGTATATGTATATATATATGTGTAAGAATTATTGTTGGTCACTCTAAGTTCTATTGATTTTACATAGGTAATTCTATGAGACGTAATTGTGAGTTTCAATACTTATTTTATTAATTTAATAATTAGAACCTTATTTTTTTTCAAGCAAATTTATATTTATCCTTATTTTTATCCTTACAGTAACTTACTCTGTATGGTATTTGAGATATTTTTTATTAATAAATGTTATATGTCAAAATTTTTTTTATTCATATATCTAATGTAAACACAATCTTTAGTACTCCAAAATCCAAAAAAGCAACTTATCTAAACATATAAATAAACACAGCCTATCAACAAAAAAAATATGACGAAAAAATCACACGAGTAAAACCGTGAGACAACATAAGTTATAATCGCAGAACGAGGTATGGAAACCAGTATAAATAGCTCTCAGTATTGAGATACTTACTAAGGAGTTCACACTCAAGGAGTTTACCTCCAAGTTTACTTATAAAAAAATACTTAATTAAAAAAAAGTCAACCATGATCGCAGTACTCTTGTCCTTAGTGGTACTGTTTTTCAGTATATGGTTGTTGATCCGATGGCGGAAAGTAAAAAGTTATTGGTTAGAAAGGGGAGTGCCTCATTACCCTCCACATCCAATTTTGGGAAGCCTCACCTTTTTACAGAGGGAAAATCCTGTGAGTATATCTTTTATTTTTTATTTCATTTTTTTTTTTGTATGCTCATAAATTGTACGTAATTTTTTTGTTACTTTGTATTATGGATTTAAATCTACCACAGTTGCAGTGACAGATTGAAATACTTATATTTATACAATATTTTTAACGTTCAATAAAATATTACTTATAATTATACTTGATTAAAATATTTAATCATAGCAAATATTTCCGACGAATATACTATATGACCGCAAAATTAACGTTAACACCAACTACGATTAATAATGTTTTATTCAAAATAAATTCAGGCTAAATGTAAATAAAATTATTAATTGTCGATAAAATTGTCTGAAGCTTTATTAATTAATTAAACTAACGAATTGTCCAATTTTCTAATCCTTTTAATATGATAATAACTACACAGTCTAAAATGTACCATGTTGGCCTTATGCCGTTTTATTACCTGTCAAATAAAGTCTACATTTTCAAAAACCTCTTGAAATTAACCCAGGAATGAAACCGGTGACATTCTTATTCAGTAGTTGCTCTTTACCATATTTACCATAGAGATATCAAAGATGAAACACAGCCTCTAATTGCGTAGCGAACAAAGTTCTGTTCCCGGAGTGAACAAATATTTGTTTGGCTTAGCCTCGGTTAAAGTTAAATTCTACAAGTTTATGAGTACAACCATAGAGGTATATAAGAATTCTAGTAGAAGGTTAAGTTTCCTTATATATACAAAAATATTATTCCTTTTATAAAAATTCAAAGAATACAATATATTAAGGTAAACAGGTGTACGTTTAAAATTTCCAGCCAGCAATATTCACAAAAAAAGGTTATATATAACTTTTTTTTTCATAAAACACACAATAGTTTTTGAGCACCTATTTTTGGCAAAAAAAAAATAGCGAAATGTTTTTCGATACGGTTCGTTTTTCCCTATAAATTCCAATCGCAACTTACACATATAAATAGCTTTTGAGATTAAATCCACTCAAATAAATCCTGTTGCACCAAAAAATATTTAAAGTGTAAAGTTTAAAAATGCAGTTTAAAATGAATTGCTGGTTTCAGAGAAAAGTAAATACTTCTTTTTATTTTAATTCCTTTCACAACTGGTTACAATTCGTGTTAAGTTTTACATACATTTAATAACTTTTATATAAGTACTGCAATATATCAATTTATTGATACTTAAGTATGTATGTAAGAATGTATTGTGATAAAATCATTTCAAATTGAATTGAACCAAAATGTTCAAAACATTATAGAGATTGAGCAAAATTTTGAGCTCTATCATATTAAATAAGTATTGTAACACTATTGAAATACTATTTAATAAGCAGGTAGAGGTTCCAAAGCCATTCTCAACACATTTGCATAAAGACCAAGTGTTTTCTATATGGGATAAGTTACCAAAGGAGCAGATGGATTACCTGATGGTAAGCAATCGGCGCCGCCCATGGACACCCGCAACACCAAAGGAGTTACGAGTGCATTGCCGGCCTTGTGGGGATAAGGGTTGTGGATATAAGGATAGGGAAGGGATAGGGGAGAGGGAGGGATTTGACCTTCGGTAACCTCACTCACACGGCGAAACATAACGCTGTAATTATTTCACGCGGGTATTCTGTAAGGCCGTGGTATCAGTCCGGTCGAGCCGTCCCATTCGTGCCGAAGCTTGGCTATCCCACACACAGTGAAGATTATTAAGATTGTTTTTGTTTTTACTTTATTTTTCATTACTTCCAGTCAATATGGATGCGAAGAGTATACAACGACTTCAAGGCTCCTTACGTCGGCATGTGGCAGTTCTGGCGCCCGGCTCTGGTAGTCAACAGTCCGGAGATTGCTCGCCGGATCCTTGTGAAGGACGCTGATGTGTTCAGGAACAGATTCCTCAGTTCTGGCAAAAGTGATCCTATTGGAGCTTTGAATGTGTTTACTGTTAATGTAAGTATTTTTATTGTACATTCAAATTTAATTAAAACTTTTGAAATGTTATTAAAACATTTTAACAACAGGCCACGTGGACAATAAGTCGAGGAAATGAATACTTTAGAGATATTTTTATAGATTTAAAGTTAGTAATAAAATTTCGAATTTATGGTCATATAATCTAAACGCTTATACAAAATTTCAACTCAATCGGTTTGCATCAAAATTTTATCTCAAAATTCCATTTCTGAAACACACTTACTTAAATACATTAGAAGATAAACTTATTATAAAAGCTTTTAAAAAATAAATTGTTTTATACGAAATTGAGATAGGTAAATTGCACCTAAATAAACAATGTTTTGGTAAAAGTAAAAACCAAGAATTGTCTTAAATCTGTTTATGACTATATCCATCAATTTTACCAGTGAAGTTTTTTCAAGTACTTGCTACTCTCACACGGTTTCACCTGCTGCTCGACTCCAATTGATCGTAGCGTGATCTTTTAGCCTATAGCACTCAGGAACATTGTAGCTATCTATTAGTGAAAGAACTTTAGCAATCTGACTAGTGGTTCTAAAGACAATAAAACATACAAACTTACAAATTGTATCTCTTCATAAAATTAGTATAGATATACATAGATTGCATCAAAATCTCGTCCCAAAAATTAAACTTCTTGTCGACACAAACATATTAGGTATGATTGCAAAATAATTATATTTTTCGCAAACTGTTTTTATTGCGGACATAACAACTTACTTACTTATAATAAAAACGTTATTTATTGTAAAAAGTGACACAAAAAACCTACTAGTGAACAGTATTTTATTAATCTACAAAAAAGCCTTCTATATTTAGGCAGTTACAATATAACTGCTGATATAATAAATAAGATTTGATCAAGACTTTTGAAAACCAGTGTTAGTTATAGGTCCCTTCATTTCCAAGTATTTTTTTCGCGCTTCAATATTGCAAGTTACCAAAACAGTTCTTTTTTTAATCGCACGTTACTAATTATGATATAATTATGTATCGATAATAATGCATTGCTACTACTTGATTTTTAAACTAACATGCACATAAAATGCATAAACTTTATTAAACTAACTAAGTCCTAACTAACCCACGGTTTCCGAAAGGCCGATCAATGATAAAATCAATTTAATCTCTTGTCTAGTCGTCTGATTGGTTGTTTATAACACACCCACGACGTTTTAAAAAAAAAGAAAAAAGAAAGAAGTCTTCGTCTAAGGTCGACAAACCAGAGGAAATTACATTACATGTGCGTTGAAGGGGTTTTGGGGGCTAAGGATTTAAAGAGACGAGGGATTCGTAGATTGAAGATGAGAGCGGGAGGGGATTGGGTATGGAAAAAATAGGACCTCCAGTAACCTCACTCATGCAGCGATGCAACGCAAGAGTAGTTTTACACTGCTTTTATGAGAGGCCGTGGTATCACTCCGTACGAGCCGCCCAATACTTCATAATCAACTGTAACACGTGTACATATAAAAGTTATTAATTCCGTGCAATACTGTGCCTAGAGTAAATCTACGTGGTAAAGAAGGAATTACTGACGTCATGACGTTCTAAACAAGCATATACAAAGTAAATTGTTATTTACTTTATGTAATCAGTATTACAAATAGAACAGATACCTACTTCCTGCATATTTTGTATGCATACTCCAAAGGAATACATCTAACACACAGAGTAGAAAAGGATTCATGACACACAACATTTACAAACTCAATTACTATTACGAATAGGGAAACACAAATATTTTGAAGAAAGCAGTTCAGCATCTCTTTAAAGTAGTCATTTTGTTTAACGACTGAACAATTTCATATCTTTAACTAGGTAAGGTTCTGTCATAAAAACATCACCCGTGTGAGTGGGGTTACCAAAGAGCTTATCCTTACCCATCCCCCCAATTCCCCAAACCCCAATCCGCAATTCCCAAATTCCCAAATCCCCAACTACCCAATATCCTAAAGTCTAGCAACGGTATCTCCTCTGGCCGTACCGATTGCTTACCATCAGATCATACGATACGAAATCTTTTTGCACATAAAAAATCATTAATTTGTTTCAGGACCCTCTCTGGTCTAAGCTGAGAAGACGTCTGACGTTGGTGTTCACTGCTGCAAAACTGAGGAGTCTAAATGGTATCACCATCGCCAAAACCAAGGATTTAGTCACACGCCTGGAAATAGAATCCAACAAACCTGAACTTATTGACCTTAGAGTAAGTAGTTTTTAATGTCACAGTTTAATTTTAATTTTATTAAAAATACCGATTTAAAAAACGCCATTCATGAATAAGAGTCCCGGTGTGACTTGAAATAAGTAGAGAACCTTTCTCAGTTAATCACGTGAGCAAGTCGTTATCTACAGTAATTATTTTGTATACATCGCAATAGTTTCTATCAAAAAATAGCTTATTTTTAGATAAATTGCTTTATAAGTACATACTTTTTTCCGAAAATGAGACTACGCCATTAGATTATTTTAGATTACATGCCCCAAAGTTCAAGATCGCTTTTAAATGCCCTAGTAGGTATTCAAGCAGCAAAAAAAATGAACTTGAACTCAGATTTTTTAAAGTGCCAAACGCAAAACTTAAGATAGCCAATCAGTTGTTGTTGAAGACTTGGCTATCATTACGACTTCATTGTAAAATTTGTAACATGCATCGTTCTTAACTTGAGATAAAGAATTCTATTGAGATGAAATAGTCACGTTGCATATAACATATAGCATATTACTATTTAGTTGTATTGTAATAGTATAACTTAATCATGGCCAGTTTTTCTTTCTACTATTCCTTATCAATGAGTCCTAACCAGCCTCTACAGAATATAAGTACTGACCTACATTCTCCTTCTTCTAGAAAATCTGCACCGACTTCACAACTGACGTTATCGGAGAATCAGCATTTGGCATCACCAGTAACTCCTTGGCTGACGGCGACAGCATCATGAGAAGAGTCACCAGGGAGTTCCAAGCCTTCAACTTGCATCGAGGACTGTCCTGGTCCAGCATCTTCTTTTTCCCCGAACTGGTCGACATTTTTAGGTAAGCACCGCCTTAGGAATGATGGATTTACAACTATATGAAACAAACTTAATTTGCTTAGAATATTCCAAACGATCTTCTTATAAATGATAAAAAAAAACGATAATTGAATTTAGTACTCGTAGCGCATCTTGATTTGTTAATAAACATAGCATAAGTAATTCTAAAATAACTAGGTACACGAAATCACGGAAAACGATCAAAGACTTGATCTGACCTACTCTTAACAAAAAAGAAAGAGAACAAAGAAAAGTAAGAGAAATTAAAAACATTTTTCCTATAAATAAAACAACAAAACATTTTACCTATAAATAAAACAACAAAAACCAGGTGAAGTCCAAATTTATTAATTTCAATCCGTTTGATTTTCCAGATTCAGTTTCTTCCCCAAAGACACGATGAAGCTGCTCCGCAAAATTTTTCGCACAGTTGTGGAACAGAGAGGAGGGTATGATAAGGATATCAAGGATGCCCGAGACTTGCTCGATGCTCTGCTGAAGATCAAGAAGGAAGCTGATATGGAAAATGAAGGTGAGTTACGTCTGAAGTCAGTTAAAACTTTTAAGTATAATCAACGTCAGTATACAGTAATACAATTTTGGATTGTGAATTTTGGAACTAAGTCAGAAACTAAAAACGATTCTAGAAGAATTCAGGCCTAAAGTAATTTGTGAAGATTTAAGTCCAGTAGGTAGGTTGGAAGGTCAGGTCAGGGTTGTGATTACAAGCGCAATTATATACTGCGGCCCTGTTTTGAAGCAGGAGAAGGAACAGGGTCGTTCTTAGTCAATAAGAGTCTAACAGTTTCTTGCTCGTTCTTCTCCATCGGAATCTACACTTTGGAACGAGCAATTAGCTTCACTAAGAGGACTGACCGACAGACTGACACTATATCTTCAAAATTTTGTTTGACGATCAAAAGTGCCTGTAAAGGTCTAATTGGAATAAATGATTTTTGACTTTTTTTCCCATCGCTGCACCCACGTTGGGAGGAGATATTGAACTTCCCAAAAAAACAGTCTGATTTTAGAGTAGAATGTACTACTTTTTTTTAAACGTTTTGCCTTACAATAGGATTTACTCCTGTGTCGTGGGTGCGGTTACAAACATACAATTACACATACACATGACATCCAGACCCGGAACAACAATTTGTAGATCACAGAAAGAGTTGTTCCGAGCGGGAATCGAACCCGCGACATGTTGCACGGTAGCCAGTTGCCCAGCTACCGCATGAACCGTGCAGTCCTTGACTATATCAAAGATCAAAAAATTAATAACAAAATGTTGTTTTCCAGAAATGACCGAAGACATTCTACTAGCTCAAGCTGCAGTATTCTTACTGGGTGGCTTCGACACTTCTGGTGCAGCACTGACCTGGACTATGTATGAGCTAGCTTGGAACCCTCAATATCAGGTGAGAGTTATGGCACTGGACCAACAAAACCCTTAATTATTAAACAATGTTTTCTTGGTTTTAGCCAGGGTTAATGAAACATTTTAATGTTTCTTTTACTTACTGGATACGATTTATTAAATGGTCTTTCTCTAATAGAACTTATACTCAAATATTTTCTTAGGAACGACTTTACGAAGACATTTTGAACTTGAAAAGGAAGATCGGTAACCGTGGCTTTGACTCCACCGTGCTCACTGAGATCGGGTATCTGGACTGTGTAATCAAAGGTAAGAGATTCATGAGAACAATTAGTATTACATCCATTATCATCTATCGGAAGGCCCATCCCACATAAGGGTTTGTCGATTTCAACGAAAAGTTTCGAAGAAACTACTACTCGAATTCATTCTTGTACGTTAAATAAAAACTCTTTATAGTAATTATTCTAATAGTTTGTAAAAACAAAACCGGTTATACAAGGCATATGAATAGAGTTATTTATTTATAAACTATGTCATGCATCGTATGCATGTGAGTCACGCGTGCAATTTTATACTGACGCACTTATTAATTTACATACCGCGGAAACCAATAATTAAAATAGCACACATTGTCGTAGGTTTATATACAGTTAAGATTTTCATACATAGAATCACAAATTACAAATTTATTCTCAAAGGACGTACGTGATAATTCTTACTAGGTATATCAATCAATCAGTAGACAGTTTTTCCGCAGTTACTTTTGCAGCTTCGACTTTGAAGTCTTTTATTTACAAACCCCTTTTTTGTCTCTAGAGACCCTAAGAATCTACCCCCCAATGGGCTGGTTGGACCGCATCGCCACCAAGGATTACAAGATTGACGATAAGCTGACTATCCCAGCTGGAACTGCTGTCTACGTGAATGGTGTCAGCATGCAGATGGATCCTGAGTACTTCCCGAACCCTGAGGTCTTCAACCCAGACCGATTCTTACCGGAGAATGAACGGACAATCACTCCTTATACCTTCATGCCGTTTGGAGAAGGACCCAGGAATTGCATAGGTAGATAAAATTCTATTATTATTTTAGAAATTCTCATTTTTTCTAATTTCTGTCACATCATAATCTTGATGTTTATCAGCTTACGAACTGTGTTTAGCGAAATAACTTGTCTAATTTCAAGCCATGTTTGAGGCACATATTCCTAACATTGAACGACTTAGCGTTGCATCAAAATATGTATACCGATTCATTATTTCCTCGAAGAGTAATGTTAACAAAAGTCAAATTATAAGTGAAAATCAAATCTTGTTACGCAGAAGTCCATAAAATAAGAAGTAAAAGCCATTCGCCAAATTTACTTTTACTTAGAATCCTTCGTCTGCATTTATTATCCGTGACGATATTTGTAAATGTTGTGCTTTACAATTTAAACTTGATTCTTCTACACTGGCATATTACTGTACCTAGTATATATACACTGTGCCTAGTATAAAAAAGACGCGAATTCTGTCCTCTATCCCTATGTATGCTTACATCTTTAAAACTAAGTAACATATTTTGATGCGGTGTGTTTAGAGAAAGGTTTATATGCAAATAACATGTTTTTAATTTATAATTATTTAATTTTTCATTAATAATAGCCCCTCCGAAGACATAGCGAGTCGCTAGTATAACATAATAGCTACCACATTTCGGTCGAAAATTACTTCATTTTCAAATTCTCTTTCGCAGGTATGCGCTTCGCCTTCCAGACTCTACGTCAAGCTTTAGCGGAGGTTTTATTAAAGTACGAAATCAAGGTCATCCCTGATACTCCGAAGCCCAGTGAAATTGAGATTGAGAAGAACGGTATGTTCTACATGCCCAGCGGAAAGATGAGCGTACATTTTGTGAAGAGAGACAATGAATTCGTTTCCTAGTTTACCATTATAAACTAAATTCTATTTATTTATACTTAAGAGTTATGTTTATTAGACTTAGTTTTTTTATACGAAATAAATTTTAAGTTATTTATTTGTTGTATTTATTGTTATTAATAAGTCCTAAACCTTTAATCAAATATATGTTACCTAAAAGAAAAAAACAAATACAGTTTACCACATTGACAAGTGGTCCATCAAAGTTAATTGTAATAATAGTAGTACTTAAAATGTCATTATTATGAGGTACCTGCAATGCATAATTATGATAAAAGCGCAATTTAAATACTTTATGCGACATTACTCACATGATATTGTCTTAAGACTTTACGAGCTATATTAACATAGTAATTTTGTATAAAAAATTATATATATTGTGTATGGGAGAGCCAAGGAGCAAAGCTAAGCATGAATAGTCGGCCCGACTGGAGTGATACCACTGCCTCACAGAAAAACGGGCGTGAACACAACGTTGTGTTTCGCCGTGTGAGTGAGGTTACCGGAGGCCCAATCCTTGCCCTTAAGCAATCTTGGAGTCGAATCAATGGACACTCGTCCATTGCACGCTGCATTAACGACAACAATCCAACGACGGAGGAGTTACAAGTGCGTTGCCAACCTTAAGAGGATTAGAGATTCGGAGATTTTGGGAGAGGAACGGATTCGGGTAGAAGACGGATTGGGCCTCCGGTAACCTCAAAATCTTCGATTACAATCAGATTATCATTCCGCGTGTTTGTAGACAAATCAGGACAAATCACATAAAAAAGCCATCTCCATAATAATCATCTTTTTATAGAACAACGCCATCTAGATAAGCTAGTTGTTACATAGTTATGAATTAATTAAGTGGTTTTAAAAGAAAAATGTACAAAAATCTCCTTAGATTCTATAGGTAATGTTTCTTTGTAAAATTCGACATTAACCATTTGGGGATCCTTGCTTCATTATCACCAGTCTGCTAGTCTTCACGTTCCCTTAAGATTAACACCCTTTCAGTTTATATATCATTACCGGCTATCGGCGATAGATGTCACCACCTATTCTCATTAACGATAGTCCTGCGATCGTTACGATAACCGTTATTTATAGGCGTTGTTCAAAGGGTTATTTTTGTTTGTCGAGATTTTTTCTCCGTTTTTTTTAATGGAGTTGTTTATTTTGTGTATTTTGTTTGAAGAAGGATAAGTATTTATTTGCGTATATTTTTAGGAATAGTATCTTTCTTTCGTTTTTTTTTTTTTATATAAGCACATTTATGTAGGTATTAGCTAAACTGTGATTAAAGTTCCTGATATAGGTACCACAAAATGTTCTTATATTAAACGTCTAAAGTTATTACAAATCATCTAAAAATATTCAAAGACATCCTGAACAATCTACATAAAACATATAGCAACAAACAACAGTTATTTTTAGTAGAAAAAACGTTGAAATAACGTCATCGTTTCGCAGCAGTGTCCCGTGCCTAGCACCGCCATTACAGCTTAATCGTTAAGATAAAGGGATGGCTTCTTTTTATGATCCCTCGCGGGTTTATTTCTAAGGCACGAGACAAACGTTAGATCCAGTTCGAAAAATAAATAAAATACTTAAAAGTAGATAATAGTGAACAAGCTAGTTATAATTAAATACGGTAGTTTACAACAAGAAACATACATAGGTACCTAACTACTTAAAAAAAAAATCGAAAAGATTTTCGATTCGAAAAATCTAAAAAGCCTTTTAATGAATTTTATGTGTGAATCTATCACACACATTTAAATATTTTTGAAAAATTATCTACTTGTATAAAATCTAACAGTGTTGTAAGCCAAGCTTCAGCACGAATAGGTCCCGCTCGGCCGAAGAGATACCACGGCCTTACAGAAAACCGGTGTGAAATACCCACAGAGCGGTGTGTTTCACTGTGTGAATGAGAGTTATTATATTCCTTGGAATGAGGTTACCGGACACCTAAACATGCCCTCAACCCTTCCCTCCCCAATCGTAAAATTTTCGAAACCCTAATCCCCTAATCCCCAAAAGACCAGCAATTATCTTAACGTAACTTCTTTGATGTTCCATTTGGGTAATCAATCTATTTATGCCGTTCTATCACATAGAACGCCAAATCAAAGTAAGTAAGTACTATTCGCTTCTCATGCAGGAGGGCGTGGGTTCGAAACCTGGCAACTACCAATATGACTTTTGCCGAGTTTCCTTTCCTTTAAATCTAGAAGAAAAAATATTTTCTGAGCTTCGTATGTGCGCGTCCTAAGCAAGTGCTACCCTATAATCTATTAACACCAGGTCAGGTCACTATATCACACCCATTGATAAGTTAGGGTTGCTTTAATAACTCACTTTCCCTCGTCTATAATAATTACTAATCACTTGCTTCGCTAAGCTTCTTCATTTTAATAAAATTAAGAATCACATTTTTCAAAAATGCATTTTGAGAACGATAACTAGACTACACAAATTTTTATTTTTATTTCCATACTAGATTTTTTTTAATCTATCCTATGTCCATTCTCGAGTTTCAAAACTATGTCTGTACCAAAGTTTACAGAAATCGGTTTAGTAGTTTAGGCGTGAAGACCAGACTACATAAACGTTTATATATATCCTTAAGGCCCGAGTAATTATGAGAAAATAGTTATAAGACACAAAAAAATGGTGACTGACACCGTAAAAACCTTCAAAAACAATAAGCAGCTACAATAATAATAATTAATCAATATTGTGTATGTAGGTACATCGACATTCTACCAAAACAAGACCAGACAAAAAAATTAACACAAACAACCACCAAGAACTTGCACCTTCAAGAAACACACCCCAAGCCAGGTGTACCTTCAGCTACTAACGAGAAGTAAGCCCCTAAATAATCACCGCTCGGTCGCAACAACTTGCGGCCTTCCAGGGATTATCTGACTAATTGGCAATCATGACGCAGGCCACTCCTCACTGAATTCCGAAGGGCACAGACAAAGTTTTATTACTCTGATTTACCCAATTAACTTTGGAACATTGTGATGCATTAATAAATACCTAAGGGAGGATTGTGAAATTATCAACTGTTCTCTTCAACAATTGTTTGGGGGATTGGAGATGTTTTAACTGTTTCCCGAGTAACGTTTTTCAGTGCAATTTATCTATGATATATTTTTGTAAGTGAATCTTCACAATTTCTTTTGTAATGTAACTACCGATTTAATGTTGTATATGAAAATGAATCGCAAAATATGTATGTTGTTTTTATGTAATATATCGGCCAACGAGTAGACGGATAACCTGATGGTAAGCAATTCGCACCGCCTATGGATACCCGCAACATCAAAGGAGTTACGAGTTCGATGCTTGCCTTTTGGACATTAGGTTTCAAGAAATTTCGGGATAGGGGACGAAAACAATTGGGCCTCCAGTCCTTACACATCGAAACACAACGTTGTCATTTTTCACGCCGGTTTTCTGTAAGGCCGTGGTATCGCTCCAGTCGAACCGAAACTCGTACCGATACTCGGCTCTTAAATAAACAGATATTGATATTGTTTCTTTTCTTTTTCTTTTTCTTTATTTCACATAACAACAAAAACATAGCAATAATTCTAAGCAGCACATAATCCCAGGACACTTGCTTTAGTGGTATGTCCTTAAAAAATCCTCTTACAAAATAATCTGACAGCCAACGTGGTCGGTCCCAAGGCGCTGCGGTTTTGCATTCACGCGAATATTACCACAGGGGAAGGTTTTAAATGTAATTTCTGTGGCGATTCCGAATTTAAAATGTGTGTTTATTGTGATTTAAATGGTTTCAATATATCGATAAAAAAGAAAAACTAGTAGATGTACTGGTAAACTACAAGGAATTCATTTGGATTTTTAACGTTGCTAAAATTTAAGGCTGTTTCCAGTATCATAAGTGCGTTTTGTTGTTCCAGGTTGAGTGTGATGTGTTAAACAACAGAGAAAATACCTACTACTGTTTTTTTGTGAGGGGAAAATCATCAAATGACTTCTCCTGCTCAGGGTGGAGCGGGAGGGACTGTCAGACTCTTACTGACTAAAAACCCCCCGTTACGTTTCCTGGTCTGAACCGAGGTCGCGTTGCCTCATTGCGCTTACCCCGCAGCCCCGGCTGAGAGAAAATACTGGTGTGGGGCAACGTTTTCTTTAATAAAAACCTATCTTTTCATATACCCTTCATACTTCCCAGTAATCAATTAGCGAGTAGAATATCTTGTCGTTAAGCTTGGCTTAGTTTTTTTTTTTTATATATACGTATTTTTCCTCTTTAATAGACTTAGGAACTTTTGTTATACATTCTTGAAGCCATACCAAGAAGATTTGTATTGCACAATGCGAAGTTATGTGGGTGGATGCATTTTTCTTGGTTGCGTTGTGACATTTAGATTATTGTTTGTTGTTGAGGTACAAGTTAAAGTTTTTCTTAGTTACGTAAATGGAAGTATTTTTATTTATGGAAATAAGGTTTACAATTGTCTCTCTGTTCTAATTAATAACTGCATGGCTTAGATATAGGTACCTAATTCTTTTTGGCTTTAAACACAATAAATATAGCTGTACAATGATCCAAATATATGTATCAATACTACATAGTATAAAACAAACTCCATATATCCCTATGTAAGCTTAAATCTTTAAAACTACGCAACGGTTTTTAGTGCGGTTTATTTCAAGGGGAGTGTTTACATGTTTAGTAATATCCATTAAATAATTAAGAAATTTATTATCAGCATTGCACCGGTGCACTTTTAGTCTCTTATTTTTAAGCGGATAATAGACGTCACAAAGGCATTATATGAAATAATCAAATAAATTATATCAAATCTCTTAAATAATGTACATAAATATAGGATTTCGAAATCAATTGGCTGTCCAAATTCAGACCTCAATTCAATCTGTTTTAGACTTGAATTGCTATGACTTCGACTTTAAGTCATTAATAAATACCTATATATACTCTTAATTTTATGACGCTTAAATAATACAAAATTTCCTTGGAACGTGCCATTGGAAACACAATACTTACAA